TGGAAATATGTAATCTCTTGGTTTGTTTCCAGTGGGCAGTGGGCTTGCCTGCTTGTATTTAGTGAATTAAAAACTAGAAGCTTTCAGTGCCTGGTTCACAGAGAGGCATGGGATGGAAATGTAATCCCCTGTTAACTGTGTTATAAAGATATTGGATTCTTAATCATCCGTGTGGCAAGAGAGATTTTTAAAAAAACCAAAACCCCCTCACATTTTACGGATTTTGAACATAACCAGGTATGTTTTATAATGCTGATGGTATTCATCGGAGAGCTTATTTTCTTTGAGGACTGTATTTATGTAACATCAATCTTTTGTCCGTTTGATTTTTAAAGCAATATATTCCCCTTTTCAAGTAAATGTGAATATGGATCAAGTTTGAAAAATGTTTTTATTCTAGTAGAAAAATAAAAAAGTTAAATCAGTGTGTTGTTTAATCAGCTGAGCGAAAGCGGCAAATCTACTCAGACAAAACCAATATGAGCTGCTAAATCAATATTTGTAGCCAAACTGGTGACTTGCACTTTTATAATTAATCCAGTTTTTAAAGGAGATTTAATTTAAATTGAAGGAAAAAGTGTATAGACAAGACTTGGTGCGGGGAGAGCCTTGACAACACAAAGGAGGAAGGATCAATGACAAAAGTCCTTAAGCTTTACCTGTTAATACAGTAAAAGGAAAACAGCAGTGGAACATTACTGAAAAATATCTCATTCTTTTATTTTTATTTTAGCTCCGCAAGGCTGTTATGGACCATGTATCAGACTCTTTTCTGGAAACAAATGTTCCCCTTTTAGTATTGATTGAAGCTGCCAAGAATGGCAACGAAAAAGAAGTTAAAGAATATGCCCAGGTTTTCCGTGAACATGCCAACAAATTGATTGAGGTAAGATGGTACAAATTAAAATTAAATTATCAGTAGTTAAATTAAGGCAAGACTAGGCAAAACACATTTTTTGATTCTGTTAAAACAAATAGCAAATTCTGTAATAAATTTGCTTTTTAAATTTTTATTCTAGTGAATTTAAGTATAATTTAATATTTAAATAGTTAGAAATGTAAACTTGTCAAAGGGCGGCAGCTACTGTTACATAGTCCATGTAGTTTTAGGTATTATACACCGTGAGTATATTATGCTGTTACCTTTATTTTATTTGTTAATTGGAGATGGTGCTAGGGAGTAAGGGAGACTGTGGCATGACTGTCCTATTGTACAACTTGACCCATTGCTTGAAGCCTGGAGGTTTTTTCTTTACAGTAAAATACCAGTGAATATAAACAGGCCTTTCACATGAAGATTTTTAGAATGAAAACCTGCTTTTGTGTGTGTAAAGAACAAACAACAAACAGATAACTTGCAATAACAACAAAACTGATTCCTGCCACCTTTTTCTAACAAAATCTCAAAGGCTCTCAAACTGATGTTACTCCAAACTAAAGCTAATCTTTGGAAAGATCAGCTTAAATAGGACCAACCTATCTTACATAAAATGCGTTAAAGATCCTATGTGTACTGTTAAATGTAATAGTTTTCCAACAGGTAGCAAGTTTACAAAGAGCAATGCAAGTTCATACTGGCTATTCACAGATACGTCTCGGTAACCTTCTCGTCTTGCCATTGTTTTCGCGTGAGAGTTTTGTGCCTGCTGACGCTAAATGCCAAGGAGCAAACATCTATAGGGATTGTTGAAGAAACATGACACTAGGAATAAACTTCAAAAGCTCCTCCTGTGCACTTCAGTGCGTTTTGAGGCATCAGCTGGCTCGTGTGCTTAACCTCAGCAGCTACCTGGGAACAGTCAGATACCGGTTAATGTGTTTTTGCTCTCTTGGTAGCACTGCGTTTGAAAATTGAGTCCATGTGTCTCCTAGGCTTATCGGGGAATACGTTCAAGAAAACTTGACAGATTTGAATTACTCAAGAATAAGGCTTATCGAACATCAGTAAAAGCAGTTTCTGACTCTTGCTCAATGTATTTTTCTGAAAGCCGTAGGGGCTCTGAGAGTGGTGGCGCAACTGCCCCACAGTCTGGGGTGCATCAAGCTACTCCAGCTCTTCGGAGTTGCTGTCTGAGCAATGAAATTCTTTAATTCGTCAAAGGTATCAGTTCTTCACTTTTGGCCTGCCGCATTTCAGTGTAAATGCCATCTTCATATAGTTCTAAAGTTATTTTATTCTAAATCTGAAGTAACTGACATTGTTTGACAAAACAGCAGGCGGAAGACAGCGCTGCTGTGCCCCTGCCTTGGCAGGAGGATACAGCCGTGCCACGAGCAGTAGTGGGAACACTTTGAAGTGGGTTTTGCCTAAAGCTTCCCTTCTTTATGTTGCAAGCCTAATTTATCTAGAAAAATATTTTTAGGGCTTGTTTACAGGAGAAGTTGACTGGCATAACAATAGCAGTGCCTATTCTGCCATAGTTCTCTCACCTCTTCAGTGGATGTGTGGTGTCCATGCACAGTTTATCGGTATAGTTACAAAGGAGTAATTGCGCAGCTCCGTCCACAAGCTTCCCTCCTGCCCTTGCTAGGTGAGCCCTTACTCCCCACTCCTTCAGAATACGTGTGCCGTCTGAAAAGCAATGGGTGGCTGTCCTCACTGGCACGTAAGAGCATTTTTTACTGACCTTACCTTGTGTGCAAAATGCCAAGCTGCAAATGAGTTTTACAGAACCTCTATTCAGCCAAACAGTCTGTCTTTCAAGAAAGACTATTCCCCTGAAAGTATGTATTAAACAATAGTTCTGACTGGCATCAAAAGGTTCTGCTAAAATGATATGCTGCTGCAACAACTTTTTGAAGGCTTGCTTATTGCTTTTGCTGTCTAAAATGTAACTATAGCTATAGAGTAGCATGATCTAGATGGCTTATAAACCTCTTCCATGAATGTAGATGGATTAATATATACGCCTAGCTTCGACAGAAGGAGAATATTACTCCTGCAGAGCCCTTGTCTCAAGGGGATAGAGAGCCACTGCGGAGTCATATGCAATGTCAAATTTACTGTGAAGGAAGACAGGTCGAGGTGGGTTGCACTTAGAATGTCTCGATGTGTCTCTGCCAGAATGGAGAAGGATGTTTGCAAGTTCCCATATGATTCTGCTCTCAGGCAGAAAACTCGACTGCAGGTATCTGGAGCAACAATAAAAAATTGTGTAAGAGCAGAACAGAAGATGTTCCACTTGGTGAGATGGGAAGTGATTGCTTCCACCTGTTTTCAGTGGAAGATAAGTGTGCTGGGGAGTTTATCCTAACTACCCTCAGAAATGCTGCTGAATGACTCAAGACATCCAGGGTGACAAAACAGCTGCCGTGCAGAATGGAGCCGTGGTGTGTATCACGCCATGATTGACAGGCTGCTGTGTTTTAGACGTAGAAGAGAACGTGTCCTTTCCTTTAATACAAAGCGATGGGAAGAAACGCACACAAGAGACCTGCTCTGCACTGGGTAACTCGGAAGATCCCCATCTGAATTAGTGAGAAATTTTACACCTTGGTTTTAGTACCCCTTTGTCCTGTGACCTGGAGGAGTCAGTGCAGCTCTCCTGGTGAACCAGCCACTAGAGGGGACTGTGATGTGTATATATTTTTTTTCTTATTTTTTTGGCACTGAACTGTTGCAGGTGTTGGCTGGATGGGAGGAGTGGCAGTGCTAGTTCTGCCCTGGGTTAGCATGGGGAGTTCTTGCTGCTGCAGCGCAGAGGTGCTTATGGGCCCTCCAAGTAGCTGTAAAGAGATGCAAGCACATGATTTTGGGTAATTTTATTTTGAAACATTCCCTTCTTGGCAGCAGAGCTCTGTCTGCTTTGTGGTTCCTAAAGTCCAGGCAGCCAAATTTGACCAAAAGGTGCATTAATCACAAAAACCTGATTTGCCTGCCGGCTCTGTATCTTCTAAAGAAACCATACCAAAGCCGTGTCCCAGAGAGCTTCCATCTAATTTGTTTCTCCTCAGTAAAATACTAATGCCCTTATCCCACCTTTTGAAAACGGAGTAACAGTAAAATAATAAAATGAGACTTGTCTCAATTGAATAATACATTTCAAAGATAGCTTTCAAAATTGCTCTGTGCTAACAGTCCATTAACTAGCTAGTGCTCAGCCTGAATTTTGTTAAAGGAGTTTAATTCATGAATTGAGAAGCCATTTTAAATGTGGCACACAAGAATAATGGAAGAGACAGCATTTCAGGAACCAGTGTAAGAAAAAGTTAAAATCACTTGTGATGTATGAAAGTCTTCCTAATTCAGAGATTGTAAAATACTTCCTTATGTTCGGTCATCTTTAGGATGCTGGGTAAAGTAGCCTTGACTCTCCAACCTGTAGCTTTGCTCTTGAGGAAAGACAGCTTGGAATTGGCATTTCTTAGATTTAATGTTATTCCCTAAAAGAATCTAGGCTGTCCTGCAACGGGTGCTCATTTTTAATGATGTCACTTAGCACCACGCTGACTTTTTGTTCGTCCCAGTCTTTGAAGTGTGCTTGTGCACAAGTTGCCTTTGTACTGCTCCCTGTAGCCACTGCAGTGACACTGCTGGCTATTCTTTGAAAAGTGAAAAAGCTATAAATGTTAAGAAGAAACTTCTGCTATGCTATTGAATGCTTTAGAAAAAGGAAAAATTAGGTTGTCAATTTGTCACTGTTTTATACTCCGTAATTTTAATGGAAAAGTTTTTCAGACCTTAGAAATTAGATAGTTAAAAGGTAGGTGAGGACAGAGTCCAGGTTAAAATCTTCCAGTAGCTGTTTGCTTGCTGAAAAATATGCTGGAAAGGGAGAGTTTGTAATTCCTTGAAAACAGAAAATAATCTTATCTTATTCTGGAACTCAGTACCCCTGTGTCAAATATTTTTCTCAACTTAAATTTTATTTTTAACTCTCTTTCTCAGAGAAACTTTGGTAAGACCAGGGAGACAGAGGCTCTCAATGATGTTTCATAAGCATCAGTTTTTTTCCAATTGCTTTAATTTATCTGAAAAGACCGCTCTGTGCCTTTTTTTAATGCACTGGGTTGTATCTTGCATATGGAGAGATGATTTGCTCATCTTCAGTGAAAACCCATGAACAGATGCAGACTGCAAATTTATTTGCTTGGAAAAAATCACATTTGGGCACTTGCAATTCCATAAGCTATCTGTAGCCTCTCACACTGACGTTTTCCCCTTCTGTTGCCCTAACTGTCTAGCCTGATGTCCTAGAGTAATTCTTCAGACCTCAGCCTAAAAATACCACTCGCCCAAAGCCTTGCACACGTGCAACATTTTTATTGCCAGTTTTTTTACATATGAAAGGCTTTTAAAAAAATCTGAAGTGGATAAAATATAGCTTTTTGAGACTTCAGACACAGCAAAGGGTTTTAAAAACTGAGGCTCTGTTCATTGAGATGTAACATACCTGGACATAGCTACTTACCTTTGTGATAAAGGTATGCACTTAGTGTTTGTGCATCTTACACATTTATTGAAAACGAAGCACAGAATGGAAGTATCCAGCAGATCCGGAAATCAATCTGGTCTCACAAGATTATCCTTTGTGTTTATTAGCCACCTGATTTCCAAAGTTTATACTAGGTTTGTAACACTAGCCTCTTTGGAGGTGGGCGTGGACTGGCTTTGCTCATTCTTTAAATATTCCTTCTTCATGCTTGCTATCAGAGGTATATATCGGTATTGAAAGACAGAGATGATGTATCTTGGGTGAAAAGTGCAGACAAGCATAGCACTGGGCACCCAAATCAAATATTGACTTGGAAAGTTTTTCTGAACTTTGTGTATATTGATCTCTCAACACTCAGCATTTTCCAGGCTTTGGTCATTATCAGTCATTGCTGTGGTATCTAAGCACCTATTTTTCCCATTCAGTAACCTAATTTATGGAGTGTGGGGGG